AATACAAGAAAGAAATGAAATCCCAACAGGAAATTGAATATGCACCTTATTTAATGCTTGGTGATAAAGCAGATCATTAGACTTTTCTTAATAGCATTCACTTTTGCAAACTGAGAGCCCATGCTCATAGCGTCTGCTTGTGTGGTTTTGTTTCTTCAATGTTGAAACAATTTTTACTTAACATCAGCATGGATTTACTAAGGGCCTGGTTTTTCAACTCTCCCTGACAATAACACTATGTAAATCCTACATAATGCTCAGTAGGATCAAATTCTACTTCTATTCACTCTGGAAAAAGTCTGATCTCTTCATTTTCATCATCTCTGTTAAAGCTTGGAAGTGACTCAGCTTAAGAACGATACGAGTCCCTTGGAGATTGTAGGCAATTGGATTGCTCTTGAGTAGCTACCTTTTGTCGTAATAGCCCAGGTACGCATGCGCAGACCCTGTAGCTTTGAGAGCTGACAGCAGCACTTACACTGTCTCCAGTCTTTTTGTGCTCCAGGGATGCAAAATATCAGCTCCAGAGAGTAGTTTGAGAGAAAAACTTTGTGGTTTCCATACAGTGTGAGCCACGACTGTATTCCAACTTATTCCATTCACAGGAGAGAGGCAGGATGGTCTGTTTGGAATATGAAATCCTTTGGTATACAGACCCTGAGAAAAAGACTGAGTTCTTCCAGGAGCTGTTGAAGATAATGTTGGTGGGGGTTTTTTTTATTTAAAGAAAATGCTGAGGTTTGGTTTGTTTTTTTTTTTTTGTCTCTCTGCTTGCAGTACCTCAGGGAATAGAAATGCTCCCCAGCGTCTCCTGTTTCAGAAGGGAAGCTCTGGTCATGTAAAACAGAATTTCTTCCATGTATCAAGCAGGAAGGGTTCTTGGGGAAATGTTATTCTCCTGTAGAACTATTTCCACGTGATGGATGTTTACAGAATACCTCTTGCTTACTGCCTTCTCAAGCATGATTTGTGCATTGCTATTGCCTCTGCTAATTAATTCTTTCAAAGTTATTTTTCCCATCACCATAGGAAAACCCGAAAGAAGATAATTCAATACTTCCTGTTAACTGTCATCATTTTGGTATTTGTTTTTCTCTGACGTGATATTTGTGTCACGGCACCTGCCTCGGTCATGCTATTGGGTTTTATTGTAGGTATGTAGTGGTCACAGCTGGTTTCTCTTCATTGCCTCTGCTGTTTGTGGCATGAACGATGCTGGGCAGATGGTCTTTAATAAAAACAATCACAATTGGTCCATCTTTTCTGTGGTATTTCTACAGCGGTCATAAACATGTGTGCTAAGGCAATATGCTGAACCTTAAGGGGATTTGTTGTCAGAACCATGACTTCTGCACAGTTGCAAAGAAGAAAAGGGGGGGGGGGAAAAGCTGTTTAAATCCCTTCCTTGTTTGTACACCAAGCGTGGATATGGTCATGTTCGTCCTTTCTGTTTTGATCTCTGACTCGAAGTGAAAGCAGCCTGCTGGAACAGCATTTTCCAACCATGGGTGTTAACAGTCTGGGTGACCCTTGTTTCGCCCATGTAGCTTAAAACTGTGATTAGCGATAGGAACACATGTACTAAACTGTCTGCAAAAATCCGTTTGAATGTGGGGTTGCCAGGACTTGGCTTTAGTTCTTGCAGATCGGTGTGTGCTTCCTTCTGTGAGTACACCAAAGATGATGAGTCTGCTGGTGGTTCGTTTCATAAGCCCTTCTGCTTGTGCCTGAATCCATGACTTGCCAGTATGAGAGAATTTAACTCATTCTGAGTTATTGACAAAAAGAGTAAGAGATTGGGTAGAGAGGAGACTTCATAAAGAAAAGGGCGAGAGGGAGCTTCCTTTTAATAATAGTAATTACTGTCTTTAAAAGACTTGCCAAATAATTTCATCCTCCATTTTCATCACTAGGCCTGAATCCCTGTGGCCACGTAAAAGGGATAGAGCTTAATAATTGTGAGTGTGTGAACCCTTTCATTCAAAGTTTCTAGTGGTTTTTGCAAGCAATGATGCCACAGACTTCTGTATGATATATTGAAGCTGGATTTTCAGAAGCTAGAACAGAGGTAGCATTGAAAGTTCCTTTTGGTCATCCTAACTTATTAGACCAGTTGCCTAGGCAGGTAAAGAGAGCCATAATGACTAAACAAGTTTTTCAAAAGGTGACTCACTGGTAGAACTGGGGACCATAGCAAAGAGCCAGAGAGTTCATCTATGCAGCTTCTGAGGCAGACCCAGCAGCATGCTGAGTGCCTTCAGCTTGAAGCTGAAATACATGTAAACTTGGATGTTAAAGCTACAAGCTAAATTACAAACTAAAGGAGATTAGGAAGAAACTTTTGCATAGACACGAGTACTCCATAGCTCTTTATGAAATTTAGCAGCTTCTGAAGCATCTAGTATTGACTGTTCTATGACAATACTCCAGTTCATACGGTGTAACCACAGGATCTAAAGGTCTGAATACTGAAGTAATCCCTAACAACTTTTAGGCATTAAAATAGAATTCCCAGTTATTCCATGATCTAATTGTAAGGATCCACCAAAGGTAACTTAGAAAAGCAAAATTATTGTAAGCAGGCTTAGGTTTCGCTTCTGGACCTCCAGTGGAAAATGCCTAGATGATCCCCAGCTCGGGAGGAGTCTAAGGTGAACTGGTGATGTGGTATAGAGGTCACAGTGTTTTCTGCCTAATGGTTACATGATATTGTACCATTAGTCTGAAAATAGTATTTTAAACAAAATAGAGGTTAATAGCAAAAAAAAAAAGTAAGAATGAAAGAGGTTTGTTTTCTGGAGGTGTACCCAAAAAACAGTTTAGAGTATTTTGCAGCATTATAATAAAGCCTTAACAGTAGTTCTCTAATTCTCCTAAGTCACTGATAATTGAGTTTTGGCTGCTTGTGGATTTAATGCCACCATGAAATGTAATTTGTTTATGGATGAAATATTAACACTCTTCTGTGCAGAAATGTGAAACTGGAAGAATGCTAGCACTGACTGTGTTGATTCTAAGTTGCATTTTAGTGCATTCTGTTTATGGTTATGCTATTAATTATTGTTGCAGTAACACTTACTAGACTTCTGAGGCTTGGCAACAGTCAAACACAGAGAATTTGCAATCCCTGCCCCAAACACCTTGAAATTTTAATTTTCATGGCAGGTAGCTAATAGGATATTAGCCCACGATAGCTGGGGAGAGAACCAATGGTACACGATATCATGCTTGGAATTTGTGGCAGAGAGTTGAATTGAACCCAGTTCCCCTGATAATCTTTGTGTATTTCATATTTTAATGTTTCAAGGACTCTGTAACTGCAGGGACTTAGAATGCTGCTTATTTATTTTCCCTTAATAATCAGAATTTCTGATATTCAATATTTCTGATATTTGATCAGAATGTACTTGAATGTTTTGAAGACAGATGAGATGGAATTGCTTGCGGAGTAAGAGTTAAGCTAGCATCCTAGCCCACTGTGAAGAGCAGTTTTCTCTTACTGAATTACATAGATGCAGCAATATACGGAGGAGCAGTAGGAGTGGCTGAAACCCAGAAGCCTGGGAGCTGCCATATATCTATTTGTTTAAGAATTCATCTAGCAGCTCCTATTTATGCTTTGTCACTGAGGTGAATAAAGAGAACTTTTAAAACATCACGTGAAGCAAGTAGTAGTTTTGGTGCTGCTGTGCGATATTAAATAGGTAGGTTCAAGTCTTTTGTTCAACCCCAGCTAAAACAGAAGTGTGAAATTTAGTTTCCCATCTCCCACGGCGTGTTATATTCATAGCAGTTGGCTGTTTTGGGATGGCTTGCTTTCTGTCTCCCGTGTTGACCAGAAATGCCAAGGTAGCACTATGAATATTTTCTTAAAGCAAAACAAGCACCTGGTTATGATGTATTTTGGTTTGGGTGAATAAGCATTTAACAGTGGAAAAACTGCCAAGTCAGATATCCTTGACTGGTCCTTCAACCTTTTACTGAGATAATTATTTTTTCCCGTTAAAGTCTATATCTAAATATTTAGAGTTGTTTATCTAATCCACAAAGTACAGGGAGTATAGTATGTGAAAGACTAACATAAGACCAATGCAGTTTAGGTGCTCTAAGGTAATAGTTCTTGGGACATGAATTTGTTCAGAATACAGGTGGGAAATACTTATTATTCCTATTTGCTTTATTCAGCATCCAATATACAGTTGTATAGTTTGGCTGCGTATATCAAGAAGTGTTTATAGTGGAGATGTGGTTAGATTTTCAATGTGTGATTGTCTCTTCACTGAAGCTTTCCCCCAGTATTTATGTTTAAGTACTGTAAAATCAACCTGAACATTTCAAAGATCATACTTTGTAAAGCAAAATGTAAAGTATTAATGCAGCGATGGTGGAGCAGCTCAGTGTTATCTGGGGATGGGAGGAGTTAATCTAAACTATACAACATTTCTAAAATATTGTTTCAAAAAGGCACAGCACCTAAAAAAGGCTCAGCTTCCTAAAATAAAGAACACGCTTGAAGGAAAAATGTATGCAAGTGTATAAAATAATAAAATCAGTCCTATTTATGGAATCCTATCTCTTCTTCTGCTCACCTCCAGTCCCAGAAGTGAAAGCAAGATTGCATTGGTACAAATAACTCTGATAACATGATTAACTGGATGATTGGCGGTAACTGAGGTCTTGGCAAGGACCAAGTTAATGAAAGTTATGATTACGTAGACTCCTCCAAGAAAGTCTTTATTACAAGCTCTCTTGTAGCCAGAGAATACCAACCATCTCCTGGGATGTCAAGGTGTGTAGTGACAGAAGGAGAAAGCAAAAATTTGATAGAAGGGAGCAAGACCACCAGGATGATCTCATTTTTCAGCCGCATAGACTGTTGCTGACATCTTTAGTAGGTATATTTTTCTAATATGTCTGTGTATTTATTTTTTCTTCCAGTGTGTGGCTGTGACTTGGCACAAGGAGGCTTTTTCATTAAGAATGGGGAATATCTTTGCACCTTGGATTACCAGCGCATGTATGGTACCCGCTGCAATGGTTGTGGGGAGTTCGTGGAAGGAGAAGTTGTGACAGCTCTGGGAAAAACTTACCATCCAAGCTGCTTTGCATGTACTGTTTGCAAGTAAGTTATCCCTTTCAACTAACATGGCATGAACAAGGAAAATGGGGAGAAAGGTACCACCATGAGACCCAAGCTTCTAGACATATTTCTCTTTGGGAAGCATTTGGTTGGGAAAGATGTGCTGCAAGTCTGACTGAGGGTCTTCAAAATACCACTTGTTCCTTTGGGGGATGCAACTTCTCTGTTACATATGGTTCCCTGTTCTCAGAAAGGTACTCTCACATATGAAGGAATTAAATATCAGGCTTACATATTGAGATAATGGGCATGGGTTGAATTGCATTCAGGTGGTCAGCCCAGCTTGATGGAAGGGAGGAGGTAAAGCAAAATGCTGGATAATATATCAGAGAAGTCATTTAGGCTATAAGAAAGTTAAACAATTGAAAACATACTGGAGACTCATTTTCACATCATATAAGTACATATGGCTTTGAGACAATTGTGATTCCCATCTTCTTCTCAAATTCTATTTCTTGTCCCCAGTTAGTGAACCAGTCTTCAGTTCTACGTGGAATAAAAAGAAGTTAGCTAAGGCAGTGTGGTTGGGACAAGAGGTGACATTTTTAACCTGTATTTTTGTTTAAACTCTCACTGAGTTATTAAACTCAGAATTTAGGAGGCTACTGGGCCATGATCTTCCGCGTGATCTCATAGCAGTTCTATACTTGAAAATCTCAGCTGAGCTTTACAGCCTAAACTCAACCCAAAGTCCCTATGCATAGTGTTCTCTATTAGCTGGCTCAAGGCACTGAGACCATGCTAGAATTTAGGCTGTCTTAGCGTATAGCTTATTGCTATGGTTATCAGTCTAATATTTTGGATGCAGTAAGGGAAACACAGCTTCTGTAGATTTTTATAGTAGTGGCACATTTTTATAGTAGTAAAAAATAACCTTCTAGACATAAAGTGAAGCTGAAGTGATACGGTGCCATTGTGGTGCTGGAATTAAGATGACTATCAGGTTGTTCACTTCTGCGGTTCTGAGCCCTGCAAGTAAAGCGGAACTTCTCTTAAGTTTTAGTGTAATGCCTGAGGGACACATAAGAAGCATCAGATAGAGTTGTAGATAGATTTCATAGAGATGGAGGACCCAAAAGACAGGGTCTGTTCCTTTGTAGTCTTGGAGGGAAATAGGACGGCGGAATTCTCCAGAATTCAGAGTCTGACAGCAGCTGAATTGTCTGAAACTTAATGCAGGAGGATGACATGAACAAGAAGGCAAAAATCTGCATTCTGAGGTAGTACCTTGTTGGAGATCACATCGTACGATGCATCTGGGTATTAGTGTGGCAGACCTGCCAGGTGCTACTCTAATCTTTCACAGCGCTCTGAGTAGTTTAAGTACAGTGCATTTTTCAAGACCTTTTCTGTTGAAAGTACTCTGATTGTTTTTACATTTGGTTTTAAATAGCATGTGAATTTACTGCATGTTGGTAATCATGTGATGTGTATGTTTGATTTATTTCCCAAGGACGCTGTGAAAGTAGATGATATAATATGAACAGTGACATCAATTTTCTGTACATTGACTTGCATCAATCTTTTTATGTTAAATGGACAAAAGATGAGTAGTTGGAATAGATTCATAAATGCAGTATTATTGCTGATTTATTTATGGCCCACTTGGGAATGCCTTAAACTTTTTTGTGTGTGTGGAAACAAGCAAATGTTCATTTGTTAAGTACAGTTTTGGACTGAGGTGTGGCGGGGGGGGGGGGGGGATTCAGCAGCTGAAGCTCCTTACTAAAGATTTGGAGTTCCTGAACCTTCTCATTTTGGTGAAATGCTCATACAAAATGTTGCTCATCCTCTGTTTTATACACCAAATAGGAGTTAACAGCAATGTCAACTTCTGCCTAGCACACATTCTTAACATTTTGTTGGGTTCAGCAAATGATCTCAAACCTCCATAGAGCATTCAGGCTTTACTTTTCTACTAACACCATCTGCACAGGTAGCAATTACAGTGGTGGTTCTGTAATGTAGATACCTATTTTAAATCTCTAGGAGAATGAATGGGAGTAATATTTTGGTTTTTTGCAAACTGTTACATCTGCTGTAATATAGTCATAGATTCTATTCCTAAATACAGATGAAATTAGTGTATTTATGAGTGACTAGCTCCACATTCCTTCACTAGCCTCTAGACCAATTCCGATTCTTCCTTTGAGTTCTCTTCTGTAGCATTTACTATCCACAATATCATACTGAGACAATCATAAATGTAGCTGTTGTGTCTAAGCGCATTTCACTGTCTACTTTTTAGATAAAGTACATTTGATAACATTTTTAAACTAAAATACAAGGCAAGTCTAACCTCTGCTCTGCTTGTACCCACAGACTGGATTTCTTCCAGTGCCTGGCTTTGCCAAGGCCACATTGCAGAAACTCTTTGGCCTGAGTTTCTATAAAATATTGATTTCTCTGGGGGAGGGCAGCAAACTCAAAGCATAGGGAACAGAGGAAAATTTCTGGCATATCCTTTGCTAAAATACATTTTTCTCTTTAACAATCCAGGCGTCCATTTCCACCAGGCGATCGAGTTACCTTTAATGGAAGGGACTGTCTCTGTCAGATGTGTGCTCAGCCAATGTCCTCCAGTCCAAAAGAATTGTCTGCCTCAAGCAGTAAGTATGCCATCTCCTTTGCGAAGCCTTTCACTTTCCCAGGCTCATCAACATTTGGATGAAATTAACTTAAAGCAATCTTTTGTGGGTTTTTTATTTTATTTTTCTTCACCTTTAGAAATGTGAACTATCTCTGGGATCTCTCTTTTCTTTTTTTAATTAATTAAAAGTGTCTAGTACTACAGGTGGGAGGAGACACTTACAAATTTCAATATGAACAAATGACTTGTCCCCAATGACTGGACTTTTAAAAGGGCTGATTTTCTTATATAGGTACTGAAAAAGTATCTAATTGATGAAATGTGAGGTTACAGAGTTTTTTCAGTATAATTGTGCAGGTTCAAGTATTCAAAAGAGGACAAAGTCGGAGAAATTAATTTTCTTCTAATGTTTAACACTTTAATTAAATTATCCTTTAAAAGAGTAACTGTCGGGATCATGTTTCCAGTAGACTGATACCACAGTAATACTGTGATCAGAACCTCAAGAAATCATTATAAAAGAGAGAGAAAAAACAAGTTAAGGGGAAAGAGAGAGACTGAAGAAAATTTGGGAGGGAAATTAACTTGGTTTGCTGTTGGGTTTTAATGCTTTTAAAAGATAACTTGTAAATTACTGATACTAATCTCTGCCTTTGGTAGTTAATTTTTTAAATCTTTAGGGATTTTTGATTCTTTCTCTGACTGCTGGATTGTACTTAGTACTCTAATCTGTAATGACTTACCCAATATTGTTTTATAATTCAAAATAGCTACAGATTTCCTTATGACATTAGGTAGTTTTCCTCCGATGTTGGTTTCCTTCAGGGAGACACTATGTATTTTGTACTGGTACTTGGCTTTTAGGTCCTAGGATTATGAAGTGCAATGTAAAGGCAAAGTTGCATAATGTTTGTGCTCAGCAGATGAGGCAAGTGAATATCAGGTGATATGATTTGCCTGAGAACATGGAATCGGACACTTAGCAAAATGGAAAATGAGAAACTCTTTTTGTTAACATGCCTTTCTGTCTGTTAAGTGATACTTTTCCACTTTAACTGTAGATTTGGAGCTGAAAATGCACAGGCCTAATCAGTTAAGGAAGAATTTAGGAACCTGAAAAAAGCCTTACAAGACTTACAAACCAGCATAGAAAGGTATGAGGTACTTCAGGCACCCAGATAATCCTTCTGAGACAAAGGAATGATGTGGAAATTGTACTTGAATTACTGATATTTAGGAGGCATAATTGGCAAGGAACTGCAAGGTGTAGGGACCTTGGACAGGACTGACGTTCTGTTCCTAAGCATGTCGCAGCACTGGTTCCCAAACAACTGGTGTTCAATGACAGAAGTATCTGGATCACACTACACCTGGTTCTCAAAGTGCCATGCTTATCCAGCAGTGTGACCACTTCCTGATATGTGACTCCAGGTGCCAAAATGCCTCCCAGCAAATGATGAGCTAAAGCTGTCTGGTAGTGAGCAAGCAAAAGGGCTGGAGAGTCACTTACTGATAGCCATAGTCTCTGACTGAATTGCTGCTTGGGTTCCACACTGAAGTCATAGGTAGCAAGGATCAAGGATTATAAAACAAATTTTCCCTGCTACTTGTGATTTCTTTTTGGTGTTTTGTTTTTTTTTTTTTTTTTATTTTAACCAGAATTGGGTCCTGCTGGGCAAACTGCCTTACCAATACACACAGCAAGAACGCTCCTGCTCGTAACGGTTTAGAGTGCACTACTTCCAAGTCTGCAATTACCTGCCACTATGCATCTTTTTCTTTTATGGAGAAAGAGTTGTAGGAAGATATAGTATAGAGTTTCTGGTCACTTTGGAACAAAACACTCCAAAGCAGACAAATAAAAGCAATACCAGTATGTGTTTGTAAGTTCAGAAAAACTTGATTAAAAGAATAGTAATGAAGTGTCCTTTGTCTTCAAAGATAGGACAGCTGCCACTTTAGCTTTGTGCAAAAGTTGACTTAGATATGGAGAATTCTTTCTTTTTTTTCTTTCTGGCACTGAAGAGTAAATTTTAATTAGTGTAAGCTGTTCCAGATTGCTTCCATGTCTCTCCTGCTGGCTGAATCAGACGCATAATTTTTTTCTAATGCTTTGCCCTTTTTTGAAGGGATGTTTGTTGGTTTTTTGAATGCAATTTCTTTTAGAAGAGAATCTCGTACATAGTATAAATCTATTTTATATCCTATGCTACTGTCAGTTGTCCGTGATTACTTCCAAGTAGATTACTAGAGGAGGCTTTCCTTAAAAACAAAGAAATCTGGAAGTGAGGAAATTCAATAGACTGAAGTCCATCAGGTTTGATTGGTTTATGTAATGTAAAAGGAAGCCTTCTATTCACTGTAATGTCTGCATTAATGCTGACAAGCCATTTTCTGCTGTCTGGTACTTCACATAAATGAAAGGCTTATTGACAGCTTTTCTCGGATGATTTCAAGGAAAATCAAATGCCTCTAAATACAGGGCTTAACATCTTGAATAACAGGAACCTGAATATTGTTACGCTCTTTTATAGTGCACACC